CCCTCGGCTCCAAAGTGCTGGATTACACGGCTTTGAGCCACCGCGCCCTGATCTGGAATATTTTTAGTGTTCCAAAAGAAACCTTGTACTCACTCAGGCCGGTGCATGGTGGTTCATGCCTGTAATCCCAGCATTTTAGAAGGCCAAGGTGGGCAGATCACCTTGAGCCCCAGGAGTTCGACACCACACCTGGGGCAACATGGTGGAAACCCTGTCTTTACAAAAAATTAGCTGGGCATGGTGGCTGCACACCTATAGTCCCAGCCACTTGGGAGGCTGAGGGTGGGAGAATCACCCTTGAGCCCAGGAGGTCGCAGGCTGTAGTCGAGCCATGATCAGGCCACTGCACTCCAGCCTGGCAATGGGAGTGAGACCCTGTCCTCAAAAAAAAAATAGAATAAACCTTGTACTCATTAGCACAATCCAAGCTTCCCCTCCCTCTTCCACCACTGCCAGCCCTTGGGCAACCACGATTCTTTCTTTCTCTATGGATTTCCTATTCTGAATCTTTTTTTTTTTTTTTCAGAGACACGAAATCTCCCTCTGTCGCCCAGACTGAGTGCAGTGGCGCAAGTCTCGGGCTCCACTGCAACTCCACCTCTCAGGTTCAAACAATTCTCCCTGTCTCAGCCTCCAAGTACCTGGGGAACTAACAGGCCGCATGCTGCATGCCACCACGCCCGGCTAATTTTTATATTTTTTAGTAGAGAGGGGGTTTCACCATATTGATCAGGCTGGTCTTGAACTCCTGACCTCAGGTGATCCACCTGCCTCGGCCTCCCAAAGTGCTGGAATTACAGGTGTGAGCCACCGCGCCCGGCCATTCTGAATCTTTCATACAGACGGAATCTTAGAGTGTGTGACCTTCGTGTCTGCCTTATTTCACTTAGCATAATATTTTCAAGTTTCATCCATATTGTAGCAATAGCAGTGCCTCATTCCTTTATATGGCTGAATAACAACACCCCCTTGTATGGATAGACCACACTTTGTTTACCCATTTATCAGTTAGTGGACATTTGTGTTGTTGCCACTTTTTGGTTACTGTGAATAATGCTGCTGTGAGCATTTGTGTACAAGTTTTTGTGTGGACACATGTTTTCCATTTTTTTGCATATATACCTAGGAGCGGAATTGCTGGGTCATACGGTAATCTATGTTTAACCTTTTCTGAGGAGCTGCCAGGCTGTTTTCCAAAGTGACATCACCATTGTACATCCCTAGCAGCAGTATATGAGGTTTTCAGTTTCTCTATATCCTGCCAGTTCTTGTTATTGTCTTTTTAAATTTAAATTAAATTTAATTTAATTTTTGAGAAGACTCTCACTCTGTTGCTCAGGCTGGAGTGCAGTGGCACGATCTTGGCTCACTATAACCTCCACCTCCTGGGTTCAAGCAACTCTCCTGCCTCAGCCTCCCAAGTAGCTGGGATTACAGGTGTGCACCACCACACCTGGCTAATTTTTGTATTTTCAGTAGAGACTGGATTTCACCATGTTGGCCAGGCTGGTCTCGAATTCCTGACCTCAGGTGATCCACCTGCCTCAGCCTCCCATAGTGTTGGTATTACAGGCACGAGCCCCCACGCCTGGCGTATTGTCTTTTTTAAAATAATAGACATCTTAATGGGCATGAAGTGTTATCTTATTGTGGCATAGTTCCCTTATTCTTATACAATTATTGTTCCCATTTTTCTTTATGGCGTTTAAGTTTTTGTCCATAGTGTGTATTTCCTTACACTGGTGTATCCTGTTTTGTTTTGTTTTTCCCCTGACTTAGTTTATTTTCTTTCTTTATTAATTTATTTTTTAGGCCGGGTGCAGTGGCTCACGCCTGTAATACCAGCACTTTGGGAGGCCAAGACGGGCGGATCACGAGGTCTTGAGATCGAGACCATCCTGGCTAACACAGAGAAACCCTGTCTCTACTAAAAATACAAAAAAATTAGCCGGGCATAGTGGTGGGCACCTGTAGTCCCAGCTACTTGGGAGGCTGAGGCAGGAGAATGGCATGAACCCGGGAGGCGGAACTTGCAGTGAGCCGCGATCATGCCACTGTACTCTAGCCTGGGCAACAGAGCGAGACTCCGTCTAAAAAAAAGAAAAAAAATTAATTTATTAAAAAAATTTTTTTTTAGAGACAAGGTCTCACTCTGTTGCCAGGGTTGGAGTACAAAGGCACACTCATAGCTCACTTGCAACCTTGAACTCCTGGCCTCAAACGACCCTCCCACCTCAGCCTCCCAAAGAGCTGAGCCACTGTCCCTGGCCTAGCTTAATTTCTTAAACATTTGGTACTTCTTGGTACTGCCACTCATAGGACATCATTATAATGCTAAATAGTGCTCTCGTAAAGTGGGTACCCAGGGATCTTGGGAGACCTCTTGGGTGTGGGGTAGAGAAAGTTGAGGTGCCCTAGGAGAACAGGCATCTCTCTGTACCCACAGGCTACTGCTACTATAAGCTCCAGGCTGACTTCTCCTCAGACCACCTGGGCTGTTTCACCAAGTGCCGGAAGCCATGCAGGTTAGTGTCCCCTTCCCCGGGTGCAGGTTGGGTAGAATACAGGTTACCCAGCCAAGCCTTCGAGTGGGAGAGCTCTGCCCCAACACTGAACACCTTTCTCCATCCCCAGTGTGACCAGCTACCAGCTCTCGGCTGGTTACTCACGATGGCCCTCGGTGACATCCCAGGTAGGGTGTGGGGAAGCGACGGGTGGGGGATGTGTATGCCCGTGTAATGCTGTGGCCTTCTCTGGGTATTTTGTGTATGAGTGTGTTTGACACAACCTATCCCTGTAAGCCTGAAGCGTATGGACCTTGATGACAGCCCCATTCTTTCCTAGGAATGGGTCTTCGAGATGCTATTGCGACAGAACAACTACACCATCAACAACAAGAGGTGAGTCCCGCCCTGGTCCCGGCCACAAGAAAGGAATCTTTGGGAGGGAAAATAGACCTAGGAAGAGGGATCGATATGGTTGATTAGAGGAAGGTCCAGGAAGTTCATCCTCTACCATTTCTTCCCACCCTCTGCCCCACACCTAAGAAATGGAGTGGCCAAAGTCAACATCTTCTTCAAGGAGCTGAACTACAAAACCAATTCTGAGTCTCCCTCTGTCACGGTAGGTCGTGCCTGGATGGAGCCTGTGATGTTCTGAGGGTCTTACTTAGCAGGGCAGCTGTCAGGGAAAACCAAAAGGTTGTCTGTGGGCCAGAAGGCTCTGGGTCTCAAAGGCGGGGGACCAAAGAAGAGGGTCAAGGGAGAGGTCAGGCAGGTTGGAAGAAGAAGCTCGGCCGGGGCATAAGGTCTCTGGGGGTGGTGGGAGGGATAGGCATGCTAGATGCTGAGGTGAAGGCGCTTGAGCCATGCCCCCATTTCAGCTGCCCCTGACTGTGGGCCAGTTGCCAGTTTTCTCTGGGTGATGCTGGCCAGGAGCAGAGACAAGGAGCCCAGGGGGCTGCTGAGAGGCCGACAGGACTCAGGGGTCCTCGGGGATGAAGGGAGACAGCTTGGTGAGGAGGAATGGGGGCTCCTCTGCCAGAGTCCATCCAGAACCCTCTGTCCCATCGTCAGTGTACCTCTTCTCTCACAGATGGTCACCCTCCTGTCCAACCTGGGCAGCCAGTGGAGCCTGTGGTTCGGCTCCTCAGTGCTGTCTGTGGTGGAGATGGCTGAGCTCATCTTTGACCTGCTGGTCATCACATTCCTCCTGCTGCTCCGAAGGTTCCGAAGCCGATACTGGTCTCCAGGCCGAGGGGACAGGGGTGTTCAGGAGGTGGCCTCCACCCAGGCATCCTCCCCGCCTTCCCACTTCTGCCCCCACCCCACATCTCTGTACTTATCCCAGCTAGGCCCTGCTCCCTCCCCAGCCTTGACAGCCCCTCCCCCTGCCTATGCCACCCTGGGCCCCTGCCCATCTCCAGGGGGCTCCGCAGGGGCCAGCTCCACTGCCTATCCTCTGGGGGGGCCCTGAGAGAGAAGGAGAGGTTCCTCGCACCAAGGCAGATGCTCCCCTGGTGGGAGGGTGCTGCCCTTGGCAAGATTGAAGGATGTGCAGGGCTTCCTCTCAGAGCCGCCCAAACTGCCTTTGATGTGTGGAGGGGAAGCGAGATGGGTAAGGGGCTCAGGAAGTTGTTCCAAGAACAGTGGCCAATGAAGCTGCCCAGAAGTGCCTTGACTCCGGCTCTGTACCCCTTGGTACTGCCTCTGAACACTCTGGTTTCCCCACCCAACTGCAGCTAAGTCTCCTTTTCCCTTGGATCAGCCAAGCCAAACTTGGAGCTTTGACAAGGAACTTTCCTAAGAAATGGCTGATGACCAGGACAAAACACAACCAAGGGTACACACAGGCATGCACGGGTTTCCTGCCTGGCGACAGCTGAAGCCAGCCCCTGACTGACCTGGCCACACTGCTCTCCAGTAACACAGATGTCTGCTCCTCATCTTGAACTTGGGTGGGAAACCCCACCCAAAAGCCCCCTTTATTACTTAGGCAATTCCCCTTCCCTGACTCCCGAGAGCCAGGGCCGGAGCAGACCCATGTAAGTAAAGGCAGCTCCAGGGCTCCTCCAGGCTCATACCCGTGCCCTCACAGAGCCATGCTCCAGCGCTTCTGTCCTGTGTCTTTCGTCCCTCTACATGTCTGCTCAAGATATTTCCTCAGCCTGAAAGCTTCCCCAGCCATCTGCCGGAGAACTCCTATGCATCCCTCAGAACCCTGCTCAGACACCATTACTTTTGTGAAGGCTTCTGCCACATCTTGTCGTCCCAAAAATTGATCACTCCCCTTTCTCCTGGGCTCCCGTAGCACACTATAACATCTGCTGGAGTGTTGCTGTTGCACCATACTTTCTTGTACGTTTGTGTCTGCCTCCCCAACTGGACTGTGAGGGCCTTGTGGCCAGGGACTGAGTCTTGCCCGTTTATGTATGCTCCGTGTCTAGCCCATCATCCTGCTTGAAGCAAGTAGGCAGATGCTCAATAAATGTTTGTTGCATAAAGGAATGTCTGGAGAGCTGGATGGGGCATCTTGAAGGGGGTAGGGAGTGGATACAAGTCACCACCCAAACTTCTGGGTGGTCATGGGGCTGGGGGAGGGTACACACTCCCATGGCCCTTGGTTGCACCATGGAAGTGATCGTTCTTCACAGGGTCTTAAGAGGGGCAAACGGTCTGGTGAATTCCTCCATGGTCATTGCTGAGCATCTGCTGTGTGCCTATGGGCGTTGCTGAGTGTCTGCTGTGTGCCCATGAGCGTCTTCCATGTTAGGGTGGAAGGGGGAAGACATGGTGCCGTCCCTTCAGGGGACCTACCTCACAGTGTTTGGGGAGACTTGCCCTCTCCAGTGTCTGAACCTCCTTTTCCTTCTCTCCTTTAGTCACCATCATCACTAACCTCCCCGCCCCCGCCACCGCATTTGCTGAGTCCCACTTACCACCTGGAGGCAATGAACCGTCATCTGCCTGCCTCCCATCAGCTGCCTGGTGGTGGTGGATGACGAGGCTCAGACCAGTTTCTCCGGGAAATGCAAAGCCTTATGTGGTCTTATTGGTACATGATTGCAGAGAGGGGCACAAGGAATCCTCCCAGCTTTCGTAAAGGAGAGACTGAGCTCCGGGGAGGGGCTGAAGGATGTGCGAGTGGAATTCCAGCTCTCTGACCCTGGCTTCTCCCCCATGCCAGCATAAGACCTGGAATCCGGAAGTGACCCTTTCTCACCATCTTTGGGGATTCTGTCCCTGCCACCTTAGTCTCATTCATCTTAATTGCAGCCTTCCTGTTCTGAGGAGCCAAAGTGGGGAAGACCTCGGGGAAGGAGGAGAAGGAGCTGGTGACGGGGATAGGAAGATAGACAGGGTCATGACCTAATACGGTGTGGCGACTGCTGACTTCCCTTTCCTAGACTTGAGCTGATGAAGGGGAAATGGTGTTGCTTCAGCATTCTCCTCCGTCAGAGCCCTCAGGTGCAGACTGCCCTTGTCTGCCCTCTCAGCCTCAGCCTCGGCCCGCCTGGGCCCCAGCGCCCTCTCCTCTGGCTGGGGCGGGAGGACCTGCCGGACACAGCCAGATGTATTATGGATGACTGTAGTCAGCTCCCCCAGACTCCTGCTTCTCTTGCCTCCTGCTTTTTTTTCCCGGAGCTGTCTCCTTATCTCCATTCACTTGTCTATGGGTTACTCCTGGACCCTGGGGTTAGGAGTTGGAATCAAGCTGTTAGCGATAAAAGGGTTCAAGTTGACTCATTTTCCTTATCAGGCTTAGTAGTTGAAGTGACTTGCTGAACTTCATAATTCTTACAGAACTAGCCATGAAACCAGCTCCCTTTCTATGACTCACCCTGCCACCCTGTGACACGTGGAGTCTGAATGGCAGGTCTGGGGCTAGAACCCACGTCACCTGGACTTGGAGTTCAGTGACCCTTTGGGTTAAGCATGTGCCTCTGTGTGTGTGTGTGTGTGTGTGTGTGCACGTGCACGCACCTATGTGTGTGGCATGGGGGAGGAAGGTCACTGCTCTCTGTAGCTGTTTTCTTCATCCTTTGCTCTACAAACCCAAACAGCCAATTCTGCCATCCCCAGTCTGCCCCTTTCCTGTTTCTCCATCTCCTCTGACCATGATTTTTTTCTATCCCTGGAGGGATGATGGTCTCATTCTCACCTTCTCCACAAAACGTGCTGGCTTTTCATATTCCTAGATCCACCCACTTCTCACCATCTTTTCTTTTTTTCTAAACAAAATTTTATTGAAAAATTTAATACAACATATGTCAAAGTTGTAAAGTCATTGAGTAAATAAGCATTTATCCTAAATATTGAACAATATTCTCCTTTTGTGGCAGGCTATGTATCATGGCTTTGGTACTTTGCACAGACTATTAGAAATACCTTTTAATATTAAAAATAGGACATTGAGGCCAGGCGCGGATCCCAGCACTTTGGGAGGTTGAGGTGGGTGTTACCTGAAGTCAGGAGTTCAAGACTAGCCTAGCTAACATGGAGAAACCCTGTCTCTCCTAAATACAAAATATTAGCCGGGCGTGATGGCACATGCCTATAATCCCAGCTACTTGGGAGGCTGAGGCAGGAGAATTGCTTGACCTGGGAGGTGGGGTTGTAGTGAGCCAAATTGCGCCACTGCACTTGGGCCCTGGGCAACAAGAAGGAAACTCTATCAGAAAAAAAGGCGGGTGCAGTGGCTCACACCTGTAATCTCAGCACTTTGGGAAGTGGAGCAGGTGGATCACAAGGTCAGGAGAATCGACACCATCCTGGCTAACATGGTGAACCCAGGTCTCTACTAAAATACAAAGAAAACTTAGCCGGCTGGGCACGGTGAACTCAAGCCCATAATCCCAGCATTTGGAGGGTCGAGGTGGGCGGGATCACAAAGGTCAGGAGATTCAAAAGACCATCCTGGCTAACACGGTGAACCCCGTTCCTACTAAAAATAACAAAATTAGCCAGGGGAGGGGGCAGGTGCTGTAGTCCCAGCTACTCGGGAGGCTGAGGCAGGAAATGGCATGAACCCAGGAGGCGGAAGCTGGCAGTGAGCCTAGATCGTGCCACTGCACTCCACCTGGGTGACAGAGTGAGACTCCTGTATCAAAAAAAAAAAAAATTAGCCAGGCGTGGTGGTGGGGTGCCTGTAGTCCCAGCTACTTGGAAGGCTGAGGCAGGAGAATGGCGTGAACCTGGAAGGCGCAGCTTGCAGTGAGCCGAGATTGTGACACTGCAACTTTCAGGCCTGGGCAACAAGAGTGAAACTCTATCTCAAAAAAAAAAAAATGGACGTTGAAGTTGGTTTCTTTTTTTTGATACAGAGTCTCGCTCTGCCACCCCAGCGCTGGGTTAACAGTGGCGGATCTGGCTCACTAGCAACCTCTGCCTCCCCGGGTTTCAGGAATTCATCCTGCCTGAGCCTCATGATACGTGGATTACAGGCCACGGGCTCAGCCACCGATGCCTGGCCTAATTTCTTTGCATTTTTAAGGACACAGGGTTCGCCATGTTGGTCAGGTTGGTCTCGAACTCCTGACCTTGTGATTCGCCCGCCTCAACCTCCCAAAGTGCTGGGATTACAGGCATGAGCCACTGCGCTCTGCCTTTTTTTTTTTTTTTTTTTGCCGCCCTCTCCCATACCACACTCCCCTGTATCACTTATCCTTCTGAAGTTGTTATTAATCATTAATACAACTAGCTGGGCATAGTGGTGTGCGATGGTAGTCTTAGCCACTCGGAAGGCTGAGGTGGGAGGCTAACTTGAGGCCAGGAGTTCTAGGTTAGGTGAGCTACGATTGTACCATTTGCACTTTAGCCTGGGTGACAGAGCAAGCTCCTGTTTCAAAAATAATAATAATAATTGCTACCACTTATTAAATGCTTAATATAAGGCAAACACTTGCTAAACACTTTATATGCTTGATTTAAGCATCAAGCCAGTTCTGTGAAGGGTACCAGCAAGTTTCCCATTTTTTAGATGAGCAGACTGAGGTTCTTCTCACTGCTTCATACTGGAAACTTGCACTTGATTCTAAGGCCCCTGCTTCTTCAAGAACTCCACTTTGGGTTTGCTTCTACTGTCCCCGGGGTCTACCTTTGTGATAATGGTGAGCTGCTTCCTTTCTGAATCCACTTTCAACCCTACAGTTCTCCAGAAGCTGGATGATGGGACGGAGTAAAGTCAGCTCCCCCAGCAGTGAGGGACACGGAAGCTCCATTCTCATCTACGGATCACAGAGGGGAAGCCAGGAAGAGCCAGGGGACGGTGGACTTGGGGCTGGGAGGTCATTTCAGAGGGAGAAGGGGTGAGAAGCTCTGATTTCAAGTTCCAAAGCCCTAGGGCCTCCCTCTTCTCTGTCTCCCTGCATTTCTAGCTGCCTCAGCAGCTGAAGGCCCTTGGGCGGGTGTAGGAAAGGTCATTGTACCAAGAAGATAGTTGGGTAAATGCTGTACCTTTGTTGTAGGATTCTCTTGGGAGATGTCTGCATCAATGGGGATGGCATAAAGTAGCCAGAGTCAGGATGTGGGGTCTGACTCAGTGACAGAAAAAGTGGCAGTGTGTCTCTCATAGCCAAAACAGCCCTTGGACCGGGAGTCAGGAGTCTGGGGTTCTCGGTTGGCTCTGCCTCCTGGCACACTGGGTTTCTGGACCTCAGTTTTCTCCTCTATAAAACCAGGGGGTTGGCCGGGCATGGTGGCTCACACCTGTAATCCTAGATCTTTGGGAGGCTGAGGTGGGCAGATCGCTTGGGCCCAGGAGTTCAAGACCAGCCTGTGTAACATGGCGAGACCCTGTCTCTACAAAAAGTACAAAAATTACCCGGGCATGGTGGTATGCACCTATAGTCCCAACTACTTGGGAGGCTGAGGTGGGAGAATTACTTGAGCCTGGGAGGTCGAGGCTGCAGTGAGCTGTGATGGTACCACTGCACTCCAGCTTGGGAAACAGAGCGGACCCTCGAAACAAACACAAAAATGAAAAACAAGCAAATGAAGAAATAAAAAAAACCTAGGGGGTTGTAGTAGATGATCTCTAAGGTTAGTTATAATTGAGGTATTGGAATATTTAGGAAAGAGCACTGGGAATATACTAGGAACACCTGATGGAGATATCTTTATTTCCACGGCAGCTTCGTGGATATGTCTCATTGATGCTCATGGTATCACTCTTCCCATGTAGGTGGGCAGGCATTGTTACCCCTATTTAATAAATGAGGAACCAACAGAGGCTTAGGAGAGGAGTTGCCTGATGTCCCATGATTGGTGGCAGAGCCAGGATCAACAGTGGGGCAGGGTGGGGGGACCTGGCCAGGCAGCGACTGGATGAGACCTGGGGTGAGAAGTGGCAGGGACCCAGTCAGGGCAGAAAATGAGGGTTAGGACTTACTTTGAGGTTTGGATTGGATCGGTAAATTCCCAAGAAAGAGGGAGACTAGGAGGCTAGTGAAGAATTGTGGAGTAAAGGGGAGGATTACTAAGGGACATGGAGTATCTATCATGT